GGAATGCCATTAGCAAAATTATTATAACCATCTTGTCAGCATTTTTTGCAATGCTCTTCTGAAAAGGCATGTTTTCTAAAGATTTCCTCCTTCTTATACAAAGGATTTTCTTACCTCTGAAAAAATATTTCTCTCCAGTGAATATATGTACTGAGAGGGAATCCTCCCCCCTGGCAAGGGCCCACAACATTGAAATTTGGTGCATTTTACCTTCTTGTACAGTGAGGAGTGAAACATTAAAGAATTCAGAGGAATCTAACCCAACAGTGATATTGTATCAAGTTATGGCAAGAGAAGCACCTGGACATCAGCACTTCATTTATAAACAGTAACTCACAAGTAAATATATCAATTACAGCTCATATTAGCTTTTATGTATAAGAGATAAATGTATATACATATATAAAAAAGATATCCATACCTTATATTCCTAGAAACAAAGTAACACAGAACTCCTTATGGTACATTGCTCAACAGCTTTCAAAATCAGATCTTCATGCTTAAATTGGGCCTGGGACAATGCTTAGGGTAATAATTCATTAATTCATGTGATTCTTATGTGCTTGATTCCATTATTTTCCAATTGCCTCCTTATTAGTTGTCCTTTTCTTCCAGAAAATTGGCCCTGGAAATTCAACTGTATACATCTCTCTCTCTTTTTTACACTGAATAATTACATCCCTTGTGAGTCTAAATTCAGACTCACATCTCTATTTCATCTTACTGTACTGGTATTTCTTAAAAAAAATTAAATATATGTAACAGAGGCTTCCATATCTGTGTTGTAATTTGGGAATTCATGCTTTCTCCTACATCCTCAGTTTTTCTGGATTGCAGCAATTAGGGAAACTGCAGGAGAAAGTCCTTACCATTGCTTGTAAAACCCTCATTGAACCTTTTCACAAGACATTCTCTTTAGTTAGGGGTGAATTAAAAAAGAATTATTATTCCATGGAAGTTAGCTGCCTGACATGATACAGGGTAGCTCATAGAAGTGCACTGGAAGATTTCAGTGGTTGTATGGACTAACAAAGATTTGCTTGTTTAGGCTTAAATATCAAGTACAGCATTAAAATGCTGACATGGACTCAACAGTTTTGTGCCTCTGTGTTGACAAATCTGTCATCCCTTCTGTTGATTATCCTCCCATTTCTTGCAGACTTTGTCTTCTCAAGTCATAGCTCTGTGCTGTCCAGTGTTCAGTGTCATTGTACCTAATAGCTCATGTGCCGCCTTGGCAAACTCCTTAAATCTGAACAAGGCACACTATTGCACAACCACTTACAACACTAAATGAAATGTATATTCTGTGGGGCTCTGCAGTGAATCTTTCCATTAAACACTGGAACTTAAGACTATTTTGTTCCCTACATATAAGTGAGACTCTGCCAGGCCTACCAGGACATACTTCACAGCATTCTCCCCAGACACCCTCTGGTTCAGGATGAAATTATGGTTTTGCATCCTGTGTAAAAGATGCCTGAAGAACATCATGTGTTCCTTCCTTGAGACAAGATTTTCTCTCCTGAAAGTCAGTGCATTACTGGCTGAGCTAGATGATCCCCTTCTCCTTTTCAGTACAAATTATCTTTCTTGTAGCCAGTATATTGAGTAGGAGAGCACAAAAAAGGTAACTCCCTGTAGCCAGTCTCGTAAAGCCTATAATTTATAGCATTACTGCAGGCCACATCTAAATTTTAATTCTAATCTTAATTCTAATTTAATTTTCATACCTCAGTCCATCTGCCTACCAGTTTTCTTCATTAAGATTTTTCTGGGAGAAGCAAGACTTCAAACACTAGATTAAGCTGAAGGTGCTGCCTTTAATTTGTTTAGGATGAAGACTTTCTGAACTTCTTCTGAACTCTAGGGCATTTTCAGCTGCACGTTGGATAGCATTCAGGCTTGCTATCAGACATCTCAAAAATATTATCCAGTCACACTGTCGTGGTTTAACCCAGCAGGCAGCTAAACACCACGCAGCCGTTTGCTCACTCTGCCCCCTCAGTGGGATGGGGGAGAGAATTGGGGGGAAAAAAAAGTAAAATTTGTGGGTTGAGATAAAGACAGTTTAATAGGACAGAAAAGGAAGGGATAATAGTAG